CTGCGCGTTGGGCATCGTGACGACCTAAATCACTGCATTGGGGTCTGTGACACAGACACCCTATCCACCGCCCAAATATATATATAAAGTCCCTTTATGTGTTGAATCATTTCATATATCAACATTCACGTCCAGCAAGTGAAAGGTACATAATTTTTAAGTTATTTTTCTCTGATTGTGCTGACAAACGCTGTTCAAATTCAAATTAACTTCAGGTATTGAGTTATAAGCCTGTAGAAATCATTACTATGGGTTATTTTCTTGAAATTCACTTGGAAAATCATAACCCCACCAGTGAGGTTGTCAAATTGCTCCAAAATTGATTTCTATACTATCACAGGCTTCAAGTAAGCATTTCTCCCTCTTGAACTCACGGGAATTTCGTTTTCGGCCGTATTTCGTTAAGTTGAAGTATAGTTAATATTAGTACTAAATTTATCGTTTTTACCAAAATTTAGTACTGAAACTAACCTCGTTCTTCCAGTAAATACAATTACAATTGGAAAGGGCTAATGAATACCAATTGAAACACTTAATAAATCAGAAATCGGCAATCCGAATTGTTAAGGAAAATCCATTCGGCAAGTTAGTTTCTTTAGTATTGTAACTCAGTTGAATCCCAGTAAGAGATCCAGAAGTATATCTATTGTGATTAGTTGTTGTTATTAGTTGAGACCAGTATTGTATGTTTAGTCTAGGATTGACTGCCCCTCATTTAGCCTTCCATGACCAACCCCAGAGGTTACCAAGCATGTGCCTTTCGCCGGGGGCGAGATGACGTCGCTCCAAGGAGCGATATACCATCCGTGAGGGACAAAGATGAGGTTCGAGGTCTTCATACGGTCCATTCCATGGCTTGACTATTATATGTCGTATCGACACCACATCCCCATCGAGCTTGGTACTAGGGTGCAGATCTCCCGAGTTCACACTAGACTCGAGATCTGACTATAGTTCGAGGGCCGAGCCGCTCAGTGCTGACCCAGGGGACTACAGTAGTACGGCTATAGTTATTAGTTGACTCAGTGTGACGAGGTATGCGATTAAAGTGTACTCGTCAGGGCTTATGGGAGCCCCAGTGGGCTGTCTGTACTATGGGTGGCACCTTTGGCATATGGGGGCCGGAGTGAATTCTTGTTACATTAGTTATCCATTGATAAATTAGAAGAGAGGAAGTTCAGCTATTCAGGTAGTACTTCTACTTTCCTTTCTTTCTGATTCTCAGCTTCATTTCAGTTCATTCAGTTATTTACAGTTACTGCCTTACATATTCGGTACCATATTATATTGACGCCCTTCTTGGGGCGCTGCATTACTGCCTGCAGGTGCTGATAGACGTGGGCCAGGATCTTCTTAGCTTTCCAGTAGGTTAGCGAGCAATTAGCTCCTCTCCTCCAGGCTAACAACTAGAAGGTTTTCTCTTTTGTTTATACGGTTTATGGGTAGGTCGGGGCCTGTCTCAACCATTATATCACTCTAGAGGATTGCAAATTGTTTCAATTTCCTGTGGTTGATTGTTGTTAGCGTGTGGGGCCCGTGTATGCTTTATGTTACGTGTTGGTCGTGTGGGGCCTTCCTTAGTTGCCAGTTGCGGCCTTGTCGTCCATAGATTAGTTTAGTTCTAGATTTACTTTACATTTGTAACTACACATCATGGTGGTGTCGGCCCGCATAGGATTCCACATTATTACATTTCTGGTTAGCTGTTTTCTTTTACAGTGGCTATAAGGCCTTGTCGGCGGGGGCCCCTGTTTTGCTTGAGATATAGCCCGTTGTTTTCTTAACTTAAATATTATGCATAAGCCTAGTTAGGTCAGTTCAGATCTTAATAGGGCACCAGGTGTCAGTCATGCCTCCCAAGGTGGGGCGTGACACATTCATTAGACTGGTGGTATTGCAATTTTTTATTGCATTTGATCAAATGGATGTAAAAACTACTCTCTTTTAAATGGGGACCTAAATAAGGAGATTTATATAGAACATGAGAGCTTTGTTAAAGCAGCTAAGAAAGCAAAGTATGTAAACTTACTAAATCCCTATGAAATGAGGCAGGTACCAAGTAATGGCAAGAGAAGTTTGATTCCTGCATGTTAAAAATGATTTTAAAACAAATGAGTGTGATAAGTGCATCAACCATAAGTCTTGGAATAATTCATATGTTATTGTTTGCCTCTATATTGATGATTTATTGAGTCGTTGGCTCTAACATGAATGTTATTGGAGAAACTAAAATATTCTTAGAAGTCATTTTGATATGAATCTCTTGTTGAGGAAGAATTTTATTCTTGAAATAAAAATTATAGAACATTGATGGAATTTTTCTTGACCAGTCACATTATGTTAAGAATTTAAAAAAAATATAATTTTCTTGACTGCAAGCATGTTGTAACTCCTTTTGATTCAAGTGTTCACTTGTTTCTATACAAAGTTAAAATAGTGTGGACTTGAATCGGAAGGAGTATGCTAGCTTAATCGGAAGTATGAGATATGTGATTGGTGCACTCGATCTGATATTGCATATGCAGTAGGAGTACTTAGCGGTTTACAAGCTAGGTAATGAACATCGGCATGCCATAATGAGTTATGATATATTTAAATGGGACAAAAATTAGTGGCTTGTTTATAAAAAATATCCTGTTGTACTTGAAGATTTTCTGATGCAAATTGGAATATTTATTTTGTCTAGTGATTCATGTTCTACTTTTTGGCTATATTTTTACTTTGGGAGGTGGTGCTATTTGTAGGAAATCAAAAAAGCAAGCAATTTATTACTAATTCATAGAGTCTGAACAATTGCTTTATCTTCAGCTAGTGAGGAAGCAAATTGGTTGAAGATTGTATTTTAAATACCTTATTTTTAAAAAATTAATTCCTCCTATTTTTAAATTCATTGTGATAGCACCGCTGCAGTGGTAGAGTTCAAAGACGTTATTATTATGGTAAATCCAGACCCATAAGGAGAAAACACAGTACTGTGAGATTATATTTGACAAGTGGTACCATTAATGTTGATTATGTCAAATGTTGTGATAATCTTGCAGATCCACTGACTAAGGCCTTAGAAAGAGAAAAGGTATGGAGCACATCGAGGGGGATGAGATTGAAGCCCATAAATTCATGAATCATATATGAGGAAACCAACCTGGGAACTAGAGATCCTATAACTAGGTTCAATGGGAAAAACGATCATATGATGACTTGTTGTGAATGCACTATTATATTTTCCTTCCCTATGTTGTGAGTGTACAAAATGGTTTGGAGGTTAGGTTTAACAAACTCTTAATGAAAATTTGTAGCTCATATGAGTGGGGTTTTAAACTTACAGGAGCACTCTCGACAGATTTCACCTATGTGAGTGTGGAAGTAGGTCCTTCCTATGAGAATAGGGCTTGTTCTCAAGACACTCATGAAAACCGGGATAGCACAAGGCCGTAATGTGCTCGCTATTAAACTCATGTCAACACCTTAATTATTGTGTTTAAGCAGTAGTGACCTTTATTTCCCTTAAGTAGTCATAGTTCAAGTCTGAGACCACTCTACGACTCTGGGTAAATATTACTGTTTACTAAGTGAAGGTTCAATGCTGAGCACACCTTCATTATGCATAATAGTCTCCCTTCAGCTGATAAACTCTCTTGCTTTAATATTAAAATGAGTGGGGGTTTGTTGGAATTTTGTTTAGGGCATTTTAATATTATAAAAATATTTATTTTTCACATTCAAGATGAATGTGACGCTTTATATTCCATAACCTCCATTTCATTATTCTACCTCATTATACCTTGTAACCTATATAACTTCTAAGGCATAATTCTCTCATTACCACCGCTATTATCCACATTCTTCCAATTTATTACAAGGAAGAATTCTTCACCTATAAATAGTAGTAGTCTTGTCTTGTGTTGGGGTAGAAAAAAAAAAGATAGAGTGAAAGAAAGTGAGTAAAAGAGAGAGTTTTTATTTAGCTAAAGGAAGGTGTTCTTTTGTGGAGCTTTGGACTCAACACACGTCCAGAATTTATTAGTCATACAGTGTTGGGTTGTATCCTCGGGGGACAAGTCGAAGATTCTGCTGGACCGGTAAGTTTTTGCTGCAGTGGGCTTGAATCTCACCAAAGGAGCGAGATATCCTCGCCTCAACCTAAAGATATTTATTTTCTTCATTTTTATTTTTCAGTTGTAATTGTAATTTCATAACATATTCCATCAAAAGACAAACAAAAATCGAAAGTGTAAAAGCCAAATCAGTTGCAGCACAAACGATTTATTAAACTAAAACTAAAACAGTTAGATTTTCCATTTTCTAGCGCCCTATAGTGGGTGACCAAAGAAAATTTCTCAAGGCCAAACAGATGAAGGCATAAGACAAGCAATTGGAACAGATTTAACACTTACCTGATATAAATTGAAGCAGAGGAGGAAGGCCAATGGTGGAAGAAGGCAAAATACGCAAGGATAAAAACAAGTAGAAGCAAATGAAGCGGTGACTTTTAGCAAATATACAATAAGGGCTCAATATATACTGTGAAGCTGAAAGTAGCCCTGAGACAGCAAGCTGGTAGAACCTTCAGTTGCTTGCTTCATGGCTCTTCTATTTATTAGGAATAATCATATGGTAAAAATCAAAGACAAAATTAAATAAAAAAGCAACTAAAAAATTAAGGAAACTAAACAGTGTTTGTATATATCTATACATGTAACAGTATTAAGAAATATATTGAAGCAAATATAACCTTTATACATTTGGAGATTTTAATTTAAAAATATTATTCATCTCTGGAGCATAAAAATAGTGAACACATAAAATAATTTATTTTCTAGGAATATAAAATATGCATATTCTGTTAATTAAACAATTAATAAAAATATTTTGAAAGAAAAGAAAATAGGTGCGGTAAGGCCTAGGAACATATAACCATTTTATTTCTAAAAATACAAAACAAACAATTGAATGGAAAAAGAGAAAAAGGGAGCGCTGGGATTTTGTACGTGTGAAAGAAATGGAGATGCAGGTATCGATCCCGTACCTCTCGCCCTTCTAAGCGAGCGCTCTACCATCTGAGCTACATCCCCTGTGTTGTTCAGCTCAACAGTAAATATGTATTACTTCTTTCACTGCAAACTTTAAGGTCACCTACTATGGAATGACTTTAAACAGAGAATAAAAGGAAGGGTCAAATAAAAATCTAGTGATGTGCTACTTAGTTACAAAGAAAAGGCTAAATACATACTCCCTCCGTTCTTTTTTTAAAACATTTCCAAAAATAATAAAAAAATTAAAACTATTTATTTTTAAAAAAAAATAAAATGGACTTTACCCACTACCCTTAATAAATATCTCTTTCACCCTCTTTTTCATTCTCATCATCTCCCTTGTTTTCTTTTACACCTTCCTTTGCTTCCTCTTTCCCCTCGTTCTTTCACTTTTTCATTTTATTTATTATTTTTGTGTGGGAAAGAACACAGAGGCGAATTCAATATTTTTAAATCTATGGTTCAAACTTTTAAGATTTTAAGATTGAATTCATTATATTTTTAAAATTAATTTAAATTTAAAATAAGAATACCTTTCATACTTTATTTAACTCCTATACCACATAATTTATATTTCGCTTTAAAATTATAATTCAATTGAATCCCAGTAATATTAGTACATCCGCATCCCGAAAGAACATGAAAAGACCATATTCTTGAATATCTATTTTATTTGCTAAAGAGCAGAAGAAAAAGATTTGAGCAGGTTTTTAAACATGATGAATAAAATACACATTGCTATATTTGGCTCCACTCTAACTTAAGAGTGAAAAGCACTCTTTATGTCAAGTCAACTTGAAGTGTTTAATATATATTCTCTCAGTTCATTTTAATTATTAGAATAAAATTTGCGTACTCATTAAAAAAATTAGTAAACATAATAATTTAACTAATATAATTTTATTAATTTTATAAAAATAATAGTAATTCTTTTTTACATTTTAAAATGACTTTAAGTACTAATGGTAGAATTAAAAAATATGATCTATTATCTCTTAAATTTTGAATAAAATGAAACAGGAGAATTCACATTATTATTTAATAGGTAACCGTCTTAGTGAAATGCCCAAATAAAAAATAAATAACATTATACATTTATTTGTCCCCCCCCTCAAAAAAATAAAAAGGCAAAAAGATTATTTCTACGGTGAGTTACTAACTTAGCATTGACCTAACCATGAAAAACTTTTATCTTTTTTAACAATAATAAACTTCATGACAAGTAAATTCTCAATTACCTGACCTCCTGTGTCCTTTCAAAATCGATGATCTTTAAAATTGGGTTCTCTAAAGAAGCCAAAATAAAATAAAATTGGAGTAGAAAACCGACTCAATTGGAGTCGTTTTTATTAATTGGATCAGTTTTTCTGTTTTTACAGTGTTTCATTTTGAAAATAAAATATCATAAAATTATGTGATAATTTTTTTTACAAGTTCACATTATGTTAAAAATATATGAAATACAATTTTATTAATTATATGTGTCTTTACAATTCTTTTGATTAAAGTGTTTATTCGTTTTAATCTCAAAATGAAGTAATGTGATAAATTATTTTTTTAAAAATGGGTTATTTGAATCTCACTATGACATATCTCATAAAAATTTATGAGATATTTAACTGATTGTATGTGGTCTAATATGACATATGTAGCAAAAATACTTAGTGGTGCAAGGAAGTCAAATTAATATTTACTTGGTATGAAAATATATGGCTTCTTTTATAAAAACAATCATGTTATTCGAGAAGGAACATTTAGGATTTATTTGTTGAAAAACATTATTATTGTTAATTCCATCATGGAGGTTGATATTATGAACCTTTAGCTAGTGAAAATGTGAATTGATTTAGAGATTTCATATATCAAATACTTTGTTCTGAGAAACTAAACTCTCTGTTTGATTTGTGTGAAAGCAGTCATATTGATAGAGTATAAATTTGATATTGTGATGGTAAATCTAGGACCAAAAGACAAACACAATACTTTTAGATTATATTTGACAACTGGTATATGCCATTAATATTGATTGTGTTAAATCTTGCAAATTCATAGACTAAGATTTTAGCAAGAAAAAAGAATTTGAAGCACATCAAGGGATGAGATTGAAGCTATTAATTTCAGCAAGTCATATATGAAACAACTTGACCCTAGAGATCCTATAACCGAGGTTCAATGAGAAAAACTCATCATATGATAACTACGTTAAATACTTACTAATATTTATTATAATATTTTCTTCATATGGTGCGAGTGCATTTATTCTGTAATGATTTATGGAGGTTGAGTCTAAGAAATCTTATTGAAAAAAAATAGTTAGTATGGTGGGGTGTTAAAGTTACAGGAGTACCTTGATAAATTTCTCCTATGAGTATGGAAGTTGTACTTCCTATGAGGGTGGACTTGTTCTTAAGAATACTCATCAAAATCGAGATAGCACAAGGCTGTAATGTGCTAGATATTAAAAGTTATGTGTTAACTTTTATTGATTGTGTATGTAAATAGTGATACTTTATTTTTCTTAAACAGTCATAGTTCAAGTCTGAAACCACTAGAGTTTTAAAATGGTAAAATTCTTATTGTACTAAGTGAATGTTCAATATATCGCACTTAGTCATTATATAATAGTCTCTCTTCGCTGGTGAACTATCTTATTTTAATATCAAACTGGTAGATCACTATGCACAGAGCAAAGTATTTCCATACTAAATATTAAAGTGCATGACATATTGGTAAGGCATAAAATGAAGAAATTGGTACATTTTATTCTTGTAACCATTATGCCATGTTCTCTCAATTATTTTTTCCACTAATTAACTCACTACACCTCAATTTATAAACCACTATCTTGATATTTACTTTGTGGGAGAAATACTACACCTATATAAAGGATATGTTTCTTCTTTGTATTGTGTGGATGACAAATTCATTTATAGTATAGATTTAAAAAAAATATTTGTGTGTACATAATTTGAGGTTGATGAAATGAAAGAGAGAGTTGAGACAAAATTATTCCAAGTCTCCAAACTACTTTAAAAAAAAGTATTATTTTGTTGAAGGAACATGTTTTTTGTAGAGCTTTAGACTCAACAGCTAGTGCAAGTCATTGAATTACACCGACGTTTCGATATATTGTATCTTGGAAGGAAAAATCAGATTTATACTGCTGGATTAGTATGAATTATTATTGTTGCTCTAAATGTACATGCAAGTGCATGATGTAAAATAATATATTGACTTGAGAATCGGAAATATCATGCTCACAGAGATTTATGATAAAAAATTTATTAGACTTTACTATTACTAGTTAATTAAGCAATTACTTTCACCGAAGGTTGATTTAATGATAAACTACTGCAAAGATGTAAAACTAAGTTATTTATACTAACAAGTAATCTACTAATGATTTCAGGGTTGTGGTTGGTTCAGAGATGGATATTTCAGAGATGGTTGGTTCTGAGTCCTACTATAGTTTATCCAAATGCTTCACTCTTAATATGAATTATTAATGACTATTATTTAACTAGATTACTGATAGCCATAGTGTTTTCTGAATTACTACTCGCTTATTCATAATAGATCGTCGCCTATATTCATATGAAATTGATCTTAAGAATGCATGATACTTATGTTGTTGTTAAAAGCAATAGTTAGGTATATTCCTATCCCAATCGCAAATTCTTGCCCACTTTTTGTGTCTCGTCAACATTCCCACAAATAACAATATGTATGTGTGTGTGTGTGTGTGTGTATGTATGTATGTATATATGTATTAAGGACATGCAAAATCTAGGCAAATGATATCAAATATGTCATAATTATTCAGCACACTCCCAGCCAATGGCTAGTCTCCTTCAATCCTCAACTGAAGGTCCATCTCATCCATAGAGATGGTCATGGAAGTTGTCATTACAAGAAGTATGTCATGCAACTATAGTCAATGTGTCTCTACCATATCTGGTTTCTTGACATAGCGGTGATGTTATCAACTTACTACAGCTGGCATTTTGTGTAATATGCGCAAGCTCTAAGATCCAGATCCGGTTTAATCAGAAAAATCTGCACAGGCTATAGAACGACTTGTCAGGTGACTCATCCAACACCCGACGAATCATTGGTGACTGGTAAGGGTGCCAGGCTCGTAGGAGACGTCGTCGGGAGGGCCTCAGATGATGTAAACTCTGTTGCTTACAATGAGTTGTTAGGCACCCGTTATGTGCCAAGAAAGTTGCAGACCAAGAGACCTAACGAGACACAGAACGAGTTGTGGTGTCACCTCACGACTCGTCAAGTTGGTCGTTGTCAGGATAGCTGAGATTGAAGGATGGAATTTCCAGTGATGACAACGATAGGGGTAATGAGTCATCATCTATTAAGCAATAGTCGTGTCGGTCGCTAGTTGAAAAAGTTTAGTGACAGAAGATTTTTCAGATCAAAGGTAATAGGTGAGGACCACGAGTCATTAATAGTCCCAGCGACTGTTGAGTCCCTTGTTAGGACTAAGGTATAAGGTTTTTTGCAAATTAGTAAGAGTGTTTTCATAATTTCTAAGCTACAAGCCTAAACTACATCGTTTTAAGCTCTGTTAGGAGAGCTGTAGTTACACCTATTCTAAACTATTCCCCTCCCATTCATTACAAGACTTAGACCACTCCATTGAAGATCAAGCCTAGAACCCTTCAGTTCTTCTCCAAATCCTTTGGGCTTTCTAGGGCAAGGTAGATTCAGATTCTTCCAGGTATGTATTCACTCTCATGCCCAAATTTCTCCTCAAGTTCATGAATTCAAGTGTTAATTCAAGTGTATGATCCCATGGGTTTTAATTCAAATTTATGAAATTCTCTATGATCTTTCTATGGTTCAATTCCCTTCATGTTTCAAAGAATGTTTTAAGATTCATGGGCAGATTTTATGTACTAATTGATTACAAATTCATGTTTCTAAATTTTAGAAAATTATGCCCAATTAGTAAGTTCATGAAAAGTTTAGTCTATGATCGATGATTTCAGTATGATGAAGTATCTAGCATGTATGTATGTTTA